TTATCGGCCAAGCGTGTACAGGCTATTTTGTGGAGGCCTGTGATCTATTGTTCAAAAACGGCTCAGTTGTACCATTTCGTTGCTTCACATGAGTTCACAGGTCTCACTTACATTAGAACCGTTAGTTAAAATGAAATAGCAAAATCAGCTGGCGAAAGTGCAAATTGTACCTCGCAAGCCGAACAGCGCATACTTTTAATCTCCATAGAGCAGGCCCCGACACCCTAGCCTAACCTTTCGGTGTTTCTGACAGGCGATGTTGGTAGAGGCACATTCGACACACGGAACCCACAGATTGGACGAGCCCGTATCGAATACCACCTTGAAGGTTTGAGGAGGAGTTCCGATCTGGATCGTGCCGTAGTACTGCATCTGCAACCCCAGAAGTGAAGTATTACTTGAAGTAGACTGCCAATTTATGGTACCTCACATCGAGATAGTTAGAGAGTTCTTCGTTGAAGGCGTGCCCTGAGCGAGGTTTGTAGCCCTTGATGTACTTCTGCTTTAGATATTCAGCTATCGCCTTCGATTTATAAGAACTTCGGCCATGGATGGTTTTGTTAAGGGCGACACTAAATCAACGTATTTGTAGAAGTAAAATGCTCTCCATAGGAAGGGGGGGGGGGGGCAAAAAAAGACATTTTGGCCGAGTCACATATCAGCAAAGTTTTCGCAGCCCAGAGAAGACGTGGATACGAGTACCAGGGCGGAAGATACCCAAGATGTTCCTCGATAAGCAGGAGCTGGCCCTCGCTCTTTCGCCCACATCACCTTCATGTACACCAAAACATGACGTCATCTTCAATCGCAGCCTGACAGAAGGCCTATGGAAGGGCGTTGGAAACCTGAAGAAGACGTAATATCCAAGTGTGTCACCTGTCCTAACCCCCTTGATTACCGGGTTCGGAAGGAGCTCAACAGGGTGGTCTACAGTGGCGGAGAAATCAACGACCTCGCTGAACTCAGGCACCGAATCACGGTCGCGTGGCAGAATCTCTCGATGGCGCTCGTCCGGAAAGGCTATGGCGGAGCATCGTGTAATGTGGTTTCAGTGTGATGGCGGAAATGTCCGATTAGAATTTACTGGGTTGTAACTTATATCGCCTTGAAAGTCGAGAAGAAAAGTGTTTTTTTTTGCCCCCTCCCCCTGTAGATGCAATAGCACTCACCGTAGCAGTGCTTCGATAGTCACACATGCTGATAGAAGGAGAAGGATGAGTTTAGCCATTAGAACTCACGGAGCTGAGCTTACAGTTTTCCTTCGAGAATTGTTAATGTTTGAGAAGAACGAAGCTTTCTGCGAAAAGAAGGGTAGCAGAAACTGGTGCATTGGTTCCAGTCGCGGCTTATATTTGTACTTGGCAATGTAATAACCGAGGCATCGACGCTGTTTCTGTAAAATAAATGCCAATTAGCTGAAAATATTTGTCAGCAAAGGGAGGGAATAATGCCCAAAATATCATCGTTTTCCGAATGAATAAGACCCTATATCCAATATGTTCGTGCGCATCAACAGTAAGGCATCCAATTTTCTTGACAGCGAGTCCAACCATCCTTTACGTCTGTATGCATCATCCGTATGGAATTCAAATCAAAAAGGGGGATAGGGGTTGACGGGAACGTCCTGCCATACGTTCTGAAAGCGAGTTTCTTCCTCAAGGGGAAGCTATATTATCAAGCACATCCACCATTGCTATTGTACGATCGCAAGAATGCTGAGTTATGGGCAAAAGTCGTGCCCCAGGAGTCGAACCCGCACCTCACGCTTTCCGGGCGAGTGCGCTATCCGTTACGCCACCAGGGCCGCTTTTACCCTCTCAGCTTAACGGCTTTTATGCCGATATCTAACGATTACGGCTGACCGGCCATTGGAGCTTAGAGGGTGAAAACGGCCCTGGTGGCGTAACGGATAGCGCACTCGCCCGGAAAGCGTGAGGTGCGGGTTCGACTCCCGCCTGGGGCACGACTTTTGCCCATAACTCAGCATTCTTGTGATAACTTTCGGAACGCGAACTGC